ATTGTATGAGCCCCCAATAAAATGATTTTTAAAAAATGTTTTGAGAATGATGGCTACAAATGTGCTTGACACAATGGTTTTATGTATGGACTGTGATAAGAGTTGTACAAGTCCCCAATAAAATGATTTAAGAAAAATAAAAAACAGGACATTTAAATGCATAATGACTTAAATAAAAATAACTAATTTCTCCTTTAAAGGAAAAAAACCAAACAACTGGAGAGGGTGTGCTGAGATTGGAACTATCCCTCCAGTAAAATTGTGTGATCATTGTGGAAGCAGCATGGTGCTTCCTCAGACAGCTGGGACTGGGAATGCCACCCAACCCAGCCAGCCCTCCAGGAGGACCACAACATCCCCTCCATGCATACAGTCCCTACAGAAAGAAGAACAAAGCACACGCTGAGAGCGTGCACTCCCAGGCTCATCACAGCCCCTTTCTGAAGAGGATGGAGACTACCACAGCGCCTGTCAGTGGAACGATGGGTAAACACACTGCGTGCATACACACCACAGAATACCACACATCCCTAAAGAATAACGATGAAACTGAAACAACTGGTGACATGGATGGATGCAAAGGACATTATGCCGAGTGAAGTTTAGTCAGACACAAAAGGGAAAATAAATATTTAATAATTATTGAAACCAGTTTTGTTTGTTTGTTTTAAGTTAGAGGGTTACATACCACATGAACAGACTTTAATGGGTACCAAGAGTGGGACAGGGGTGCTGTGGGGTGGAGGGCAGACAGGTACTAACTTAGGGAAAGGAAAGCTAATAGCCAGAGAAAGAGATGGAGAAAAGGGAAGGAGCAAGCTCATGGGGAGGTTGATTAAATTGCTCTGGAATGCAAAGGTATTGAATGCGAAAAGTTGATCTAATAGCAAACTCCCACCGGTTTTACAATAAGAAGGTTTTTTAAAAGGGACTGAAAAATACTGTGCCGGGTAGATGATTTATGTGTCCTCAAGTTTATCAGGTTTGACAAGAATTACTAAATGTATCGTAACTTGCTCACCCCTCCCAGGGAGACCATGAGATGACACCATGGCATCGAGACCACCCACTGCCCTTGGCATTGTTACTAAGTAGCCACGGCGGCATCTTGGGTGTGCAGACAAGCTCCCGTGGCCCCGTCCTTCAACAGTAGGGGTGATGTCTGCCATTACTGAGGCTTTCTCAAACAAGGTGCATGGAATGGCCACAAGAGGCTTACTACACAAAGACATGATAAACTTGGGGTGTGAGTCTCTCGTCTGTCTTGGCACTGATTTGGCTCTGGTGCTCATCCTCCTTTGAATGTTTTATGACAGTTCTAACTGTTATCTGCCCCTCTGGTTTTTAATTATCTTTTCTCATTTTGATTCATTGAAAAATAACACCACATTGCTTCTGGTGATCTGTGAATCTCTTGAACAGATTTTCCTAGTTTTCCTCAGGAAAATTCCGGATCTCTTCCTACACCCACCAAACTGCCTTTAACGTCACTGGCTCTCACATTAGTCGCGTGGAATTTATTAAGACAGACAGAGTAACCCTGAACTTCAGTCAAGAGATCTATTGCAGTGGGCAAATCTGGTGCACAAGATCTATTTACAGTGTTAAGGAGCATAGATGTCAATTTGAGGGCCAAGGTGGGCCTGGCCCAAGCCATCTATTTGCATCCACCTCATGTGCATGTGCAAGTTGGACCACGATGAAAGCATATTGAAGAAGAGTTGCTGTGTTGACATTATGACTGGCAATATTGAGTGCTCCAGGGACTGCCAGAAGGACAAACAGGTCTTGGAGAAGTACAGCCAGAATGCTCCTTGGAAGTGAGGATGGCAAGGCTTCGTCTCGGGTTCTTGGGACATGTTATCAGGAGAGAAGGTCCCGAGAAAAGGATCGTATTCCTGGTAAGGAAGAGGGACGGCGGAAGAGGAAGACCCTCAGTGAGCTGGATTGACAGAGGGGCTGCAAACATAGCAGCCGTAGTGGGGACGGCGCAGGCTAGGGCAGTGTTCTGCTGTACCCAGGGTTGCTGTGAGTCAGAGCTGACTTGAGGGCCCCCAGCACCACCCCACCCCACGTGGGAATCCAGGTGCTCTGGACTATAAAGCACAGTGCAGCGTGAACTTCAGGAGTGCTCTAAGGAGTTGAGCAGCCTGGGGCAAGGCTGCCCTTCCAGACTCCTAGTCAGCTAGTGGTTTACCCACCGCAGTCACTGTGCTTCGTGAAGGGTGGGCATTGCTGGGGAGAGAAGTGACATGGGTAGGCCAGTTACAGCTTGATGTGATTGGGGGGTGGGTTTTAAAGAATGGAGCATGCGCTGCAGGAAGTAAAATAACAGGAAAAATAAAAACTTGCATACTAGACTTCAAGTAATTAAGAAAATTTTTACACACAAAAGACGTCTAGCTGCCATTCATACTAGTATTATAGTTGTGATTGTTTTTAATTTTCTTTTTTATAAATATTTTATTAGGAGCTCATACAACTCTTAACACAATCCTTATACAGTGAACCCTCGCCACTTCGCGCTTCGACTTCCGCGGCTTCACTCTAGCGCGGTTTTGCGTAACAGCGCATGCTCTGTCATTACTGCCACTGATTGGCTCATACTGTACACGCTTCTGTCTGCATCGCTACGTATCGGAGCTACGTATCAGATGCATTTTTGCTTTTGTACAGTGTACTGTAATTTGCGATTTTTAAGAAAATGTATAATAATACTGTATGTGACATATGTAATACTGTAAATTAGATGCCATAAATAATATAATAAATGATAATTGTAACGTCCAAAATGTTTTACTGTATTTTCCCTTTTTCGTTTAATTGGGTAATACGAGTGTAATGGTGACTTAAGGGTGTTTTTTCATGTCCTCTATGCTCTAACTACGAAAATATTTGATTTACAAATAAGGAATACTACTTCGCGGAATTTCATTTATCACGGTAGGGTCTAGAACCGATTAACCGCGATAAACGAGGGTTCACTGTATACATCAATTGTGTAAAGCACATTTGTACATTCGTTGCCCTCGTCATTCTCAAAACATTTGCTCTCCACCTAAGCCCCTGGCATCAGCTCCTCCTCCCCCCCTTGTTTTAAATTTTCTAATGCTTACTTACTGCAAGAGAGTATATGTCAATCTTTAAAGACCCATGGGCAAGGTTTAAAAAAATTGAATTATATGTTTCTTTTTAAGTTGGACTGTTTCTCCTCCTACCTATGTTATTTACATCGCAGGCATAAACATACTACTGTATTACTGCACCACCATTCACTATGAAGAACTGATCAGGAAAGTGACCAAAGTCAGTGGATTTGATGCCTGTTTAGGGATAAAGCTTAAAATAGTTCCCTAGTAATGCATGTCAGGAACCCTGGTAGCACAATGGCCCAGTGCCCTGCTAGCAGCCAGAAGCCCCGCGCTTCGAGCCCACCAATGGCTCCAAAGGCGTGAAGACAGACCCCGCGCTCCGTGAAGATTTCGGCATAGGAAACCTAAGGGCAGGCAGTTCTACTCTGTCCTGCCGACTTGCTGTATGTCTAAATCAACCTGAGGCACACGCAACAGCACATTTACCACTGTCTCGGTCATTTAGTAAAGATTTCCTTCAAATGTGGTCAGTTCCTCTTGATACAGAAGCCCAACATGGACGGTCACAGACATGGGAGCGCTGTTTCTCTTGAGAACGAGCATGAGGCCGGTCCTCCAGTGCTCATTCTGCCCTCAGGCCACAGCCCTTTCTACAAAGCCATTCCGAGAGAGCTGTAAACCACATGTATTCCTGCCTTTCAGGATTTCTCTCTGATCCAGGATCGGAGTTCCGGATACAGAGCCCAAGGATGAATGTTCGTCTTGTCAGCGATGGTGACAGGGTACTGCGGCAGGAGAGCCGCCGCCTAGTGGATGACACCTCAGCTCAAGCTAGAGAAGCAAATAGCCCGGCTCCTTCGGGTCTGCAAAGTCTGCCTTTCCCCGCAGGCCCCAGGAATGACGGTACGGTGAGAAGACTTGAGCTGGGAGGCGCTTTGGGCACACACACACAGGAGGTTCTTAATCTGAGTAAAGTATCCAGTGAATTGGCTTAGCTTTATCTATCACAGTCATTGGGAGTTGACCATCAGAAAACATCTTCAAAGATTTAATCAGCTTAGCACTTGATAACTTGCTGACAGTGGTGTAAAAGAAACAGCGATGGTTTTGGAGTCTAAGACATTAACATTTAAACTCTGCTACTGACTAGGTGCAATCATGGACAGGATGCTTAATCTTTCTGAGCCCTGCATTCCTAATCTAGAAAACAAGATGATAATATTCTTCTAGCCCCCAAGGCCGGTGGAAATGAGTTTATGGATGTGAAGGCTCTTGACAAATGATTAGGTTATTTTTTAACTTTTAATCAAAACAATGGGAACAATAAGTGATTTTTTGAGGACCCGTTGTGCTAGGATTTTGTATTCCTTCTCTTTATCTGGATGGCACTCTGTGGTTGCACGTCAAATCTGGCCCATTCTTCCTTTTGTGAATGTTGCTGAACCACGGAGGGCTCATTTGTTAATGGATGGTCCATTGCCTCCTTTCCCACTCCATTGGCAGAGTTGACCCTAAGCCTCAAATCTGTACTTACTGGCCCTTTCTAGAAAGTCTGCCAGACCGGACCCTTATCCCCACAACTGTTATCCTCGGTGTACGGATGAGGAAGCTGAACCTAGTCTCAGGTTCACATTGTTAAGATGTGGGGGATTTCTCTGTATAAGCCATCAGTTCCCAAACTTGTTTGTCCCCAGGGCCTCCTTTTCAGGAAAAAAAAATTTACTTAGCACTCCTTTGGCAATTAAAAACTGGCACCATAGTTCAGGATAAAGTATAGGTATCTGCTTTTGCAGCGCCCCCCTGGATCATTGCAGCACCCTCCCCCCCAGCCCGTGCACTGACAGAAAAGCAGTGTGGCTTCCCCTCTGGAGCACACCACTAGAGAGAACTTGTGCCGAGTCTTGACCTGCTCACCCATTTAAACTTTAGAACCTTGGGGAGAACCCCGTGTCCTTCAGACATCCAACCCAATCTAATTGCCCCATTGTTTGGGGGTGGGGATCAAGACATGCATGAGGATTTCAGGCACGACAAGGGCGAAGCCCTGGCTAGGTGAGCGAAAAAGTGTTTTTATATGGAGACATAGCTCTTGGTGTGCAGGCCCAGGGCCACACATAAAAGATAGCGAAAGAAAGTCGTAGGATGTGCGCTCGACAGTCAGCTTGTCGAGTCAGCATTAGCTTCCGAATCAGCTAAAGTTCAGTGCACATTAGTAATGTATTTGATTGAGTGCAGGAAATCAGGCTAATTTCCCATAGGTCATGAGCAGTAATCATGCTCCTGAATAACTTGGTACAGATATACAATACTCGAGGGCTAGGGGTGAGAGATTCAGTGGTTTCTAAACCATTTTATTTTTTTCAAAAAGAAAGACGTGAAGGAACTGTAGAAAAATGTTCATTAGCTGAGCGTACCAAATCTCTCTCGCTGCTGGGACATTTTCATTAAACTTTTTACATTAAAGTATATTCAGAGAACTGCCTGTTTAAAAGGCTCCTCTGGTAAAATCTTTGTAAGTCCACACTTGTGGTTGTCGTCGAAATCCCATACATTTAGCATAAGCCTGTTTTGTGTCATGGGCCTCACCCACCTTATTTCAGTTGATGGCCAACAAGGCTGTGAGGTGAGGGATGACACCATTGCCCGTCATTGTGCAGGTGATAGCCAGGTGCAGGAAAATGTAATAATTTGCTTGAAGAAACTGCTTTTTTGGGTAACGTTCAAAACAAAACTGCGATTCCACGAATGAATTCGTAATCCAGGGTCATTTGCACCAGACCTTTCTGCTGAGAGCAAGACCTGTCTGTTCTGATAATTGCCATAGCTATTAGTAAATTGGATTTTCCAGCGTGTAGTTAAAATGCTTTTGTGTGTTTGTGAGATTCTAAGAAAAATGTGGAGTCTCTGGGCATGAGTAGTCTGGTCACAGAAAAGTAACGAGTTCCTTTATTAAACACAGGAGCTAGAAGGAGCCATAGCGGGTTGTAGTGAGGCTGCTAACCAACTGGGGGTCAGCAGTGTGGCCCCACCAGCCACTCCATGCAAGAAAGGAGGCTTTCTGCTCTGGTGAGGGATGTACAGCAGCGGTTCTCAACCTGGGGGTCGAACAACCCTTTCAACAGGGCTCGCCAGATTCATAACAGTAGCAAAATGACAGTGATGAATTAGCAACGAAAATAATTTTATGGTTGAGGGGGTCACCACCATATGAGCAACTGTATGAAAGGGTCGCAGCATGAGAAAGGTTGAGAACCACTGATTTGCAGTCTTGAAACCCTGTCCGGCTCTTTGGTGGGAATTGACTTGCAAGCAGTTACATGTTTTTGCACTTGGTTAGAATTGGGAGCCCTGGTGGTGCCGTGGTTTAAGCCTGTGGCTGTTAACCGAGCTGGCATTTCAGACTCCCCAGGTGCTCTGTGGGAGAGAGACGTGGCTGTCTGATTCTGTCAAGATCACAGACCAGGAGTCCCGATGCAGCAGTTCCTCAGTCCTGTGGGGCCCTGAGCACGAGAGCCGGCTCGGTGGCACGCAGCAGTCTGAGCAGAAGTGAAAGCCGAAGGAGAAAGTGGTGAAACTGTAAAACCTGGCTTGGGGAGCGAGGGGGTGGGCAGAGGAAGACTTGACTGCTAGCTTTCCTGGCCCGCCCCGATTGTGTGGTGGGCTCTGTTGGTTTGTTTTGTGTTTAAGGTGTGTTCGTGGGGTTTGAAGCGTGGGTATTCCTGCCTTTCTCCCTGGGCCGCACCCGTGGAGGAAAGCTCAGGACCCACGAGGGGAGACTCGCGTCTGTGTTTTTGTCTTGCTCCAAACGAGGGATTTCGTTCACGAACACCTAAGAGTTTGTTTAAATTATTTGTTTCCTTTTTAAGACAGAGTTCATTTCCCCCAAGGTGTTCTGCTCTCATATTATTGGGGTTTGTTTGTACTATCTTTCAGACCTTTCGCACGACTGCGCCTCTCAGCCCGCCAGTCTTCCGTTCTCTCCCGTCATGCCACTTCCCGAAGACGGCAAAGGCTCTGGCTTCCACGCGGGGACTAAACGGAACCACGAGCCCTTTATTGCTTCAGAGCGATATGCAAACAGCAGCGTGGGCTTCAGCAGTAACGCCCATGCCCAACCGCCGGAGAAAGTGACGCTCCTTGTAGATGGCACGCGGTTTGTGGTGAACCCCCAGATTTTCACTGCTCACCCGGACACCATGTTGGGAAGGTAACGGAGCACAGCGTCCTCCCAGTTCCGCTCTTCTCCAGAACAAGCAGCTCTCCCTGCTGCTTGCCGTAGATAGGAGAATCGAAAGCTCCGCGGGGCTTACTTGTCTACCTTTGTGAGAAAGGGGGTGGGGCAAGCTCAAGCTCGAGAACACCTTGTGTGTGTTGGTGATAGATGGACATGCACGTGATTTGCTTGCGAAGCTAGTGTAGAGCCATGGAGCCCCCACAAGAAGGAGAGGCTTGTTTGGCCTGGGGCAGCCATAGCTGGGTGACCCTCACGCTCCTCGGTAGACTGACTCCGAAACAGAAGGTTGCCTTTCATTTGTTTCATCAAAGTACCGGGATGCTTCCGGAGAGACCGCAGTCACAGCGATTGCGTTTTTGTTTATGTGGCTGTAAAACTAGAATGTTCCCCAAGACAATGGGACAAGGAAGGCCACGGGAAAATCAGTGGACTCGTCCCATGTAGAAGTCGATTTTATTTCTAGCTCTGACCTCACTCAGCACATTGCGCTAATTTGAGCTGAATGAGAATCAGAATGAATCATTAATGTGCCAACTTCGAGCTAAGTGGAAATCTGCAATTTTATGCTAAATATCTCCCTAGAGCGCATAGCAGTTTTTAACCAGCACCAAATCTCTGTTTTGCAAACATCTGGATTAAGGTGACACTAGAACATTAAAGCATTTTCCAAATGGGCTTATATTCTACCAGACTTGACTTCCTGTCCCAGTCTAGATACCACCAATACCACTGGAGGCTCCCAAGAGAAGAAGGGCCAGCCCTCCTGGGTAACAGATTCTTGATGATACCTGCGTTTTCTGGAAGCGGGAAGGGTTGTCAGGGGAAGAAGGGAGTCTCGCTCTCTTCGCTGAGGTGGTTCCTTGAGCTGAGAAGCCCAGGATGTAAGTTCTGGAGGTCTGGGCTACATACGTACGCACCCAGTGAGCTTACAGTCAGTCACCGGGGCCAGATGAGAGGACCTGAGTGACTTCACACCCATTCCTATCTCTGCTAGATGAACAATTCTGAGCTTAACCCCTGCTGATGGTGGTGCCGGGATTGTGTTTATGGCATGTTGTTCAACTATTCCTATTCACAGCTGTCTCAGCCAGACTTCAGCCCATCGTTCCAGGAACATGTCCGCACCCTTTGATGACTACTTTAATCAGGATGAATTTTTATGCCCGGCAAAGTGCTGTGGAAAGTGTGTGATTTGGGAATTTTTTCCAGACCTTTGAATGAGCCGGCTCAGAGTCAAAGATAAGCGTTGGCAACAAGTGAACAACAATAGAGCTTCCTGGCAGGTTAAGGAAGGAAGCGTCCTGGAGCCTCTTCTGGGAAATCCAACCAGGCTGGCTCAACTAGCCTCCTGCCTGCTGCTCCGCCTGTGCCGGCCTCCCCTCCACAGCTCAGCCGAGTGCAGCAGGGGCCAGCGGCCATGAGGAAGGAGATCAGAGCAAAGAGAGGAAGAAGTCAGTGAGAAAAGAATAGCGCCCCTGCTCTCGTGACCTCGGAGTTCATGCCAGATGGACTTGTTTCTGTGAAATAAGGTCAAACTGCTGTCAGCTTTTTACCTCCCAGCCCTTTTCTGAAAGCCCAACCTGAGGTTTCCGGCAGGAATGCTCCTAAGACTGAATACGGGCAGTTCCCCCAGAGCGCCACCATCACAAAAAAGGGCAAGCATTAATTTACAGGCACCAAAAAACACAGAGTCATCTCTCAGGCTAGACGTTGAAAGCAAAACTCAGAAGCATCGAGAAATGGCATCTTGGGTTGGTGAGTGCTGGTAGAGTCGAGAAGGTCCGGTGTGTCACACAGTCTTCCTGAGCTGCCCCAGTGGCTGGGCAGGTCCATCCTGGGCAGTGAGAAGGCTGTTTCCTAGGGGCCAACAAACACCATAGTTGCCGTCTCACTACATTTGCTGACGGAAGCTTCCCACCCGGAACCTTGAGGGCTTGCTGTTTTGAACATGTCCATTAAGGGTGGGGCCAGTGCTAGGTTGTTAACTTGCCTCTGTGAGACGGGGGCGAGGTAGCGAGGAGAGAATCTCCTCTGTAGGGTCCCGCTGGAGAAGGTAACCTTGTTGCTGGTGTCTCTTTCAGGATGTTTGGACCAGGGAGAGAGTACAACTTCACACGGCCCAATGAGAAGGGAGAGTACGAGATTGCGGAAGGAATCAGTGCGACTGTATTTCGCACAGTGCTGGTGTGTAGCTGTCTCTTCTGTCATGTCCCTTCCCCGAGGCAAGCGTCTCGTCCACATCAAACTGCTCTGACCTTGGGCCTGGTTTCTGGTCGTTTCCCTTCCCTGTTTGCTTCCATTTCTGTAACCCTCCAGTCCTCTTTGCTTCTCGGAGCCCAGTTAAGGGTCAGGTTCTGCGTCACCAGGCCAGGGCACGCAGGAAGCTCCTTCCATTGGAATGGATCACCCGAGTGCTGATCACTCCAGTAGCCCACTACAGAAACACAGGCCGGTTCTACCCTGCCCTGGAGGGACCCTGAGTCGGCACTGACTCTGGCTGCGAGTTTGCGGTTTCGGTATTAACTGAATTGAGAATTACTAGAGTAGAAGAGGTAAGTTGTCATCTGAGGCTTTACGAACCTTTCTTCTTCCTGATCTGTATACAGGATTACTACAAAACTGGTATCATCAATTGTCCCGATGGCATCTCTATTCCAGACCTTAGAGACACGTGTGATTATCTCTGCATTAACTTTGATTTCAACACCATCCGGTGTCAAGATCTGAGTAAGTACAGGGGAGCCACCAGTGGCACTGGCTTTGAAGTTGCTTGGAGGACGCTGAACAGCAGGAGCTAGTGTGGGTGGAAATCATGTGCAAAGGCAAAGGTTCACATGATACTAGTGAGCCTTGTCTTTCACTTGCCTCAGCCCCTGGAGGACTTAGAGGAAGCCCAGGAGAAGGGGGAGGAAGTGGATACAGGACCTCCGTATCTGTCATTTAAACAAGGACCCCTAGGCTTGTTTAACCATGCTCCAGACACTGCATGGGTCATCTTACCATTGTATTTACCATTATTGTGGACCTCGTGTGTGTGAGTGCCTTGTAGACAGGTCAGGGCCTCCTCCAATCCCAGAGCACTGGGCCGGGAAGCATGGGCAGTAACGTCATGTACTTGACAAGAAGACTCAGGAAACTGCTGTGAGCACTAAGGCTGCTCTGGGACTCAGTTGGTCTGTCAGCTTGGTGTTTACCGCCTCACACAGTCTTCTCTGAAGCTGGTAGTGTCTGTTCTGAGTCTTATGGCACCCTGGGCGGTTTCTGACTATCATCGTTAGGAACAGGTTCCCTGCAGCCGTGGAGCTGTAGGTTGGGCTTGAACTGCCAACCTTTACCTTAGCAGCGGACACTTCACTGTTTGGGCCACCAGGGCTCTGTATTCTTTAAGGTACATGACTTTTTTCTGCATGTTCCATGAAGGCCTTGGGACTTGTGGTTTCTCTACTTAGTTTGATCCACACTTGGAGCAAGCTGCTTTGCTTCACCGAACTGTGGTAGCCAAGCTCTGAAATCAGGGCCCAGAGCATTTTCACAAGAGTCACAGAATGAATACAGTATACAGAGTCTGACACTGCAGTTGTTCAGGATGCTCGGGGACTACTGAACCTGGCTCACTACAAGAGCGGTAGAGTAAGAAACCTGTCTTAATGATCACCATGGAGCGGCAGGTGAGCAGCTCCCTGGGACCCTTGGTGATAACAGCGATTACGGCATACTCTGCTCCGTGCCGTGCTGTGTGCGCTGGGACAGGGAAGAGGGCCACCTGCATTGCTTCTCTCCAGGTGCTTTGCTGCATGAACTGTCCAACGATGGTGCTCACAAGCAGTTTGATCACTACCTCGAAGAGCTGATCCTGCCCATCATGGTGGGCTGTGCCAAGAAAGGGGAGCGAGAGTGCCACATTGTTGTGCTGACAGATGAAGATTCCGTGGACTGGGACGAAGACCACCCCCCGCCCATGGGGGAAGAGTATTCTCAAAGTAAGAGCCCCTTACACGGAGTGGTTGTTTTCAGCAAGGAGCACACACACTGCCCAGAGGAGCAGTTCAGTCTTGGAAAGCTGGATGACAGGCCCCCATCAATGACAGACCCAGCCTTCATGCTGGGGACACAGGGAGGGGTCCACCTCCCGTTCCCCCCCTGATGTCTGCTCTTGTGTCCACTGCAAGGTAGCATGTGACATCACAGCCGCATGCTTTTCTTCGTTTCTGTTCATTTTTACTTCTTCCCACATTGCTAATACAGTATTAAGGAACTGAAGGATAGAGGCATGGAAGTCTTGTTCCCACTCCTGTCGCATCCACCCGCTCTTCTTGTTACTTTTGCAACATCCGTCCAGGTACGCTCAGTGTTGCAGTTATGTACACACCTTCTCCCGCCTCTTTTTAAATAACGATAGTGTATAAAGTGTAAAAACCCATGTTATGATGGCCACCTAGCACCCCATTGCATGGATGTGCCATCCCTAATTTCACCAGCCTCCTACTGAAGACAGTGGAGTTCTCTACCTTTTTGATAGCATAAATGATGCTGCACAAGGCATCCTTTTGCGTTGTCTTGTCACACTTGCACAGCTAGGGGATTATATTCCTGAAAATGGAATTGCTGTGTCAAACTCTTTGGGCCGACGCACTGTGGGAGACATTGCCAGATTGTCTTCCACAAAGGCTGCACTCATTTACACTCGCCGATGACAGCGGGTGGCAGGCTGCTTTCTCGTGCCTTTGGCCGCATACTCATTTGTGCCATTCTTAGCAGTACAACAAGGTCTGTTTCTTGTCCTGTTAACCGTGTTTGTGTCTTCTGCCCAGTACAGAATTGAACTGCAGTTCATCTTTTACTTGCAGATTTGGGAAAGTTCTCTGTCGGTGGCAGGTCTCTAAACATGAAGGACAACAGCTTTTCTGTATGAGTTGTAGCCATTTTCTCAGTCGGTTATTTAGCTTTTTAGTCTTGCTGATGGTGGTGCGGATTGTGCACAGAGCTGTATTTTATATAGCAGCTACCTGTCTTTGCTGACTTCTAGTTTCCATGTCAGTTACAAAGGGGCCTTCTCCACCCTGAGACTGTTAGCGACAAACCAACTCTGGTTTCTGTTAGTGTTCTTAGCCAGACTCATCGCAAGCTCTGCGTGGGGTTCCCGAGGCCGCCCATCTCGATGGGAACAGACGCCGCAGCTGTCTTCTCGGGAGCAGCCCCATGCCTAACCCACAGCGCCACCATGGCTTATTAATTTACTTCACATTTCATCGATTCACCTGGATGTTCTGGCCTTGGGTCGGGTGTAGATGTACCTTTTTGTCCCATCTGTTCGCTCTTCTCCTTTCGGAGCTCACTCAATTTACCCTTTTTTCTTTTTCCACTAGTTCTTTATAGCTCCAAGCTCTACAGGTTCTTCAAATACATTGAGAATCGGGATGTTGCAAAAACTGTGTTGAAGGAACGGGGCTTAAAAAACATTCGTATTGGTATCGAAGGTAAGGAAAGGTCCCGGCCTGTGTTCCGGCTGCTTGCTTCCTCAAAGTTCAGCTTCCAGAGGACCAAGAAGTGCTTTACCACCCATGCTGGAAGGAGCTTTTTGTTTGTCCACATGCTTCCTTCTTATTTTCAGTTGAAAATGCATCAAAACCACCAGAGATGGCTTCTAGTTTTCTTCCTGGGGCTAAGGAGCAGTGAGGACAAGGACTGGTGGGTGAAGGCTGGTAGAGCCGATTACGGCTCACCGAGTGGGAGCGCCAGGGAGCTGCTTCTGGAAGTGACGCGATCGTTGCAGTTCTAGGACTCAGAGTTCGTGATTACCCCATAATATGCCTTTTAGAAACATTTGGAGGGGTGTTCAGAACTGGTTTAAATCATCTGAGCAGTGGCTCCCAGCATGTGGCCCCCAGGCTCAGAGAAGGGTCTCAGGCTGATTGTTGGCAAGTGCTGACGTCTCCTCATCTCTCTTCTCTTCCTCCTGACCCCCATGCGCTGCTCCTGCTGCCTGCCTCTTGTCCCATAATGCATTGCCCCTCGCGGTGTCCAATGTAAAGCTGGAAGATCACCCATTTAAAACCTTCCACTGTCCTGGGAAACTTCAGGGACAGGGTGCCAGAGCTCCCACTTCATAGGGCAGCTCACGCAAGTGTTCTCCCATGAGGCCGCCTTTCACACCTCTCTGAGAACTCACCCAGCTCCCTCCTCTGCCCCTCTGAAGCTACGCTAACGTGGCTTCCCTTTCCCTGGCACGCCTGCCAGCTCTTTCCGGTGGTGTCCCCGCATTTTCTGAACGTTTCTTTCACTTGCCTCTCCTGGTGCCTCACGATGGGTCCTGAACCATTGCCGTTGAGTGGAGTAGGACTCACAGCCACTTTGGGCTGCAGAGTTCATTGAAGCTCTTGTGCTCTGCAGGATTTTGTTCTGTAACACTGTTGCCAGTAACTGAAGGCACAGTACTTCCCTTCCCCTGCCATTAGAGGGATAGAATCCTTGTGACTTCCCTTGGATTCGCTCCTTCCTTCCGGGGACGAGAGCTACTAATCTGAGCAGTAGGGACGTAAACGTGTAGGCAGCTGAGCTCAGAAGGCAGGGATCAGTAACTGGGTAACCAAGTTTCACAGTCTAGGCTCAGAGGCCATGGCTGTGGTTAGGAAGAAGGAAGAGTCAGATTTGCCAGTCACAGGCTGGGTCTTCTGCACTGTTGCAGGCTATCCTACGTGTAAAGAAAAGATTAAGAGACGACCTGGAGGCCGGTCAGAGGTGATCTACAATTACGTGCAGCGCCCCTTTATCCAGATGTCATGGGAAAAGGAAGAAGGAAAGAGCCGCCACGTGGATTTCCAGTGTGTGCGAAGCAAGTCCCTTACGAACTTGGTAGCAGCTGGAGAGGATGTCGTGGAGGATCAGGAGATACCGATGCACCACCCACCCCAAGTGGACGAGCTCGATCGGCTCAATGCCCCGCTCTCTCAGCTGGCATCTAATGACTTTCAGGACTAGGGCCAACTGCGGGTCCATTCCTTCCGGGAGCTTTTCTTGGGGGGGGGGTCACCCACCCCCAGCCCGCCCCGTCTGTCTCCCTCTGAGGAAGGACACGGACGTTTCTCCCTCTGGCCTTTCCTGTCGCCCGTGATGAATGTGTCCTTTTACCTAAGTTGTGCTTCTCCAGTGGAGAAGCGCTGCTGAGGAGGCAGACCGGCATGCGGCAGCCCTGGGAACCTGACAGATGTGTGTCTGGGGCTGTTCACTGAGTCTTTGCAGAGCTGCAAAGCAGGGAAGGCAGTTAAGGCTCCTGTTGCCTCGCATCCAGCAAAGCAATCCTCATCCTTACGCTCAGTTCGTTGTCTGTCTTGTTTTGTACCAGGCAAAGGGACCAACCCTGAAAGACACCATTCAAATGTCCAAAGGAAAATTCTCCCTAAGAGCTTGAGTTCAACCTTGTTTCTCATTAATGCTGTGAACAATCCAAAACCATGTAGCCAGACTCATTGTATAACGAAGTTTATCAAACTTATTCAACTTCAAGGTTTTTGAGATTCAACAGATTCTTCGTGTGTAATGAAAGGACTCGAGGAGGAGGTCTCCAAAGGAAGATCCTGGCTGGGATCCAGAGCAAGGCCACGGGGCAGCTCCGTGTGGCTGAGAGGCCTGTGGCCAGGCTGAAAGGCTTTCAGGCTGTGGGCAGAACTGCCTCCCAAGCTTTAAAGGAAAGAAGGTGATGCTGAGGGGGGACAGGTCACCTGCACAGGCCGCCCCTGTAGTTTTCTCTGGATGTTCTTTTCAGATCTTAGAATTTTTGTGATTGATACATTTCACGTTTTAAAATAGCCTGTCAGCTGCTTCGACACCAAGTAAAGTGGATTGAAGGGGACTCAGGTGGAAGGGAGTGTCATCGTCCCCTCCTCCCCCCAGTTCTGAAGCCCCTTCCTCCGAGGCCTCTGGCTGTTGGCAGCAGAGCCGGGCGGCAGGCGGGCAGCACCATGTATGGTGTGAGGGCACGCGTCCACTTTAAGGACCCCACAGGCTGGGCCAGGGCGGTGGGTGTGCAGACCGCCTTTTTGTGCCTCAGTTGGCCTCCCAGCCACCCACCCGGAGCACTTACTCAGCCAGGTGGTGAAGAGGCAGTTTCCTTCCGGACCATGACCTCCTCAAGTCCCACTTCCGGACGATCCTAAAGGGCAAGCTACTCTACCCCACGTCCTGACTCCCTCGTGGGATTCTCCAGAGATAAGCCAGGGCACTCTTCCAGGTATGAAGAAGAGAGCTAAGAAGCGTGTTTCCTCTGTGTCTGTATGTGACACTGCATGGTAACGGTCGGGCCTGGGCTCTGTTCCTGACCCAGGGACGGGGTAGGAGGTGTCTAAGCGAGCCTTCCCATACCCCACCCTGGTCCCTGATAGCCAGTGGCTCCCATTCGCAGGGCTGATGGCTGGGCCAGTGGGCAGCTTGTAGCCTGGGTCGTTTTTCTTTGTGTGAGATTATTGGTTCCTGTCGGAGTTGAGACAGACGAGCAGTTGACCCATCCAGTCAGTCTGATGGTGCTTCTTTATCTTCTCCGTGCCCTTCGTGCCATTAGAGAACGGTGACCTCTGTGCATTTAGGACTTCCAGCGGGAGTTCCTTGAGTAGTGTGTGTAACTTCTCCTCAGTACACGGCTTCTGTGTGAACATTCATTGTCCACCCTCCACTGCTAATAACGCTCCTCACTAGCCCTCACACAGAGTATGGAAATAGGGCCTGGCCCTGTTCCATGGACAGATCTCATTTTCTCAGGCTTTCAAAACCACAGTCTTGCTTTCCTTCTCCCCAGTTTGGGTTAGCGTGGTCTTGCTCCCAGTGTTGGGTGAGGGATGTTACAAATGAGTGAGAAACCTGGGGTGGTAAATCTCTCTGCCATTGTCACTAGGGGTGCCTTGGGGGAGAGCCCCTGCCCCCAGCCTGGAGCCCAGCATCACTACAGTTGAATGGTTCCACTCACCTGGGGCCACTTGCTGACAGGACTTGTCAGTGCTGGGCTTAAGGTCATCCCTCTCCGTAGTCAGCTACTGGCCAGCTGAGCAAGAGGATTTTGCATAAGGACAATAAGAAGTGGGGATCAGGTTTTGTGGGTTTTTTTAAGTGCCTAAATAAACAAGCCAAGTTGTTTGCACCGAAACATTTTCTTTAAAAAATAGTCTCATCCAGAAAATCTTACTCAGGCATCTCAGCAAGCCAGGATGGGCCTGAGGTTTAGAATGTGTATGTGTGTATCGTATTAGAAAAGATGGGCCTTTGAGGAGCTCGGGGGAGGACAGGGCGACAGAGTTCCATGTGTCAGTCACGTATGTTCTTGCCCAAGCGGAGGGAAAGTACCGAAAGAATGACGGCAAAGAGAGAAGATGGGAAATCAGCTGGATTTACTGCACAATGTGCAACAGCCAGTGTTACCCTAAATTCCTAAGAACGCCACGGTCGACGTGCACCTAGGTCTACGAAAGTACTCGGACTCGGCCCAGGAGGGGGCGACTTGGAAATGGCGTGCCAGGACTCCTTTTGAGAGCAGGTATCTTACTCACAGGCTTAAATTAACGCAAGCTGTTATTGTAACAGGGAGTTGTTTTTTCAATCAAGTGTCAAAAGAAGTTCCAGAAACAGTAGTATTGGGTTCTGTGCCACTTCTGGCCATCCTGTAGAAATGGTCCCAGTGGCAGAGTGGCCCTGAGCTAACCAGATGTCTCTGAAATATGTACCCTGTCTGCTGGGTGGGACAACCTCTGCAGGACATGCCATTTCCTCGTAAAGGCAAAATCCCTGTAGCATTTGCCTTTTGACTATATTTACTTTAACATTGCACTTGTTCTGTACTGGGGAGGCTTTTTCTATCATTAAAGTATTACCATCTGTGTCTGTGTACTGTTTTGCAGAAAATATGAAATTGTGGTGTTAGGAGGGACTTAAGAGGTTGTACTGACCGCCCAGGACAGGCCCTCTGCAAGGCAGGGTCTTGCCTAACAGCAAGGGATCACCTTGAGTCTGTGTGTGCTTGTCCCACCGTGGCGTGGCTCACAGGGAGCTGAGCCCCATACCCTCGGCCCTTTCAGGTTCTGGCTAACTTGCATCTAAGAGCCCTTGAGTGCTCAGTTCCCTCAAATTCAAAGAAGTGGGAGCCTGAACTAGTTTAAAGCAAAACAAAAACCAACCAACCAAACTGCCAGCGAGTCAGTCTCATAGCCACGCTACAGGACAGGGTAGAACTGCCCCTTGTGAGTTTCCCAGACGAATTCTTTCTCTTAGGATGTGGTAGTTTTGAACTGTTGTGCTTCCTCTTAGCAGCCCCACACACAACCACACCGGCACCACCGGAGCTAGAAATACCAAGTGAAAAGGGTCGGGCGGCAGCCTGCCCGGTACTTTGAGAACCCTGGTAGAACCTGCTGCTGATTCCTTGGTCCAGTGCAGTGTCTGCAAGGTGTCCTCCGCTCACTTAGCTTTGGAGCGCACTAACAACCTTCCGGAGCGTGCAGCTCCCCAGCAGGCTTGCTTTTGTCAGGCCTCCCTAAGTGTGAACAGCACGCTGAAGACACGTGGCCTGTGATTGGGCTTACTGTTGGGATCCCTGATGGGGAGAGTAACATGACCCGAGTAGAAATTGTAAAAGAATTTCTTGGCAGCAGTGAGGAGGCCAAGCTTGAAAAGTGAGCAGACCCTTCAACAAAGCAGTTAGCTAAGGGACTGTGGCGATGGCCGCCGCCGGGGCTGCTGAAGACACCAGGAGGCAGACGTCCTGCTGCAGGTCCACGTTGTGCACTGACGCAGTTAGACGGCCAGGTTTCTTAGTCAGCCAAGGAGATGAGCTAGAAGAGGAGGCTACCAGAGAAAAGAGGAGCTCTCTTTCAGCAACTTTAGTTTGAGCCTACAGAAGGTGGTCTTAGACCCTTGTCTACATGGGGTCTAGGATTATGGGGTCAGAGGACTCAGAAGTGATTGAAGCCAAGAAATCAACTAAATGGAAAAGGCTTAGAGAACATTTTTAGAGACAGATGGAGTATAGCAGACTGGTAAGCTACAGATGGGAGAGGATCCAAGTGTTAGGGCCTTGAGGACCTGATGACCCCAATATGGCGTACGCATGGACTCAAGGGAGGAAAGCGAGTAACACCACAAATACTTTAAGCTTCGTGCCTTGGCCGTGCACAGCACAAGCCGGCCCCACTACCACCACTCCGGCCACATCGCTGCTACTGCTGTTCACAGCCAGGTTGCTTCACAAGCCCCTCACAACTTCGGGCTGGCTGGCTCTGATAAAGTAGCGTGGTGGTAACTTTACTGGTGGGCCTGCATCGGGAAGCCACTGGAGGGCGCACTGCACGCGTATGCGCGAGCCGGCCCCCGCCCGTTACTGAGCTCCCTGCACCGCGGAAGCGGAGATGTCCCATGGGCAGGATATTTGTTGGCACACAGAAAAGGCATCAGGGAGGTTATTTGGAAGTCTGAGTTGGTTTTAACAGGACAATCCTGCACGCTCCCTCAGAAATGAACTCTACCGAATCTTGAATTCAACTTTAAAGATCCTTCAGGCTGTACACAGAGGCCCAGGAGAGAGAGAGTGCAGGGTGATACATTCTGGAAGTGTGCTTCCCAAGGAAACGGTTCTAAGAAAATTTGAAATCCATGGTCTACTGTACCACAAAGATGGGCTTTGGAATTAGCCATCTACCTGTGAGATCCTGACATTTGGAACCTGAGCATTAACCGTTACTAAGGAATATTCTGATGTTCTTTGAAGTCAACAGGACGGACCATACCCACTTTCATGCCGTGGTGTGGGTGTAGCCGCTCCTGCTTTTTCGACTGCCCGCAACTGGAGGAGTTGGTTTGTGTCATCAGCCCGTTCACCTGGAGAAGACGCCAGCCACCCTTATGCTGAGGGCTTGTACCCTGCACCCGCCCCTTCCTGAGACCCCCCCCACTTCCCACCTGAAGTAGGCCTCCCCTAGTGTACACTGCTTTGGTGGGCTGGGAAGGCCAAGAAGTTGATGCCAAGATGGAGACAAAGGGGGGCTGGGTTGGAAAGGGCTGTGCTGACAACTTGCCAGCCCCCTCCACCTGGACCTGCTGCAGGGGGGGGAGGGCGACTGGCCCAGGTAGACAGCAGTCCGGAAACTAGCTCTCAGGAAACCATGGAGCCATCCCAGCTTCCAAGTGAGAAAAGATGGTGACACCGCGCTCCCCCAGTTTGCAGTGGGGTTCAGAAAGCCACCAGGGCTCTGCCGCTTTTGAATTGCAAGGTACCCTGCTTTGGAAGACAGTTCCACTCCTGTGTTCACAAAGTTTATTCAGAAGTTAAACACGTGGGCATTTCTCCTAAAACAAATCCCCTGGCACTCCCCGGACTCTCCCATGACTCCTTACCCTTGCTAACCCCACACTCGGAAAAACAGTTAGGGAACTGGTGGTCAGATCCCAAATATTTGACTACCGCGTTACACAGAAGCGTCCCGTTTTTACTTCCCTTTCATTTACAGATTGAGCGCGGGACTGAGGGACACTCACATTCCCCCTCTCCAGCGCATACACTTCCCGACCGTTCCTTTTTCTCTCTGGAATATTAGAACCCAGAGCAGTTCCACATCGGCCTGGACTCTCTGGGAGCCCATTTTCCTAGTGTGAATGGCTAAGCTGGGGCAAACTTCCCTGTAAAGGTGATCGGAACGACCTGGCCCAGCAGAAAGCGGCCACACAGCTGTGGCGTGGCCATGACTGCCACAGGCAAAGTTCCCCACGCCGGTGCAAACGCTGCTTCCGGAGTTCTCACCACGCATCCATTTGGGGCCACAGCACGGCAGCTGTGAGAAGGCACTTGGTGCTAAAATCCACAGGGTCTCTTGGTGCTAAAATCCACAGGGTCCTCAGGAGAGCGCTGCAGCGGAGCCCAGGCTGCAGGCGCCCCTTCAGGGTGGCGGGGGAGTAGCACCCGGGAAGGCATCTGTAAAGGAAAACATTTTCTACCACGATTCCAAGGCAAAACGGTGGCATGAAGGAGAGTTGGGGGTGGTGGTGGTGGGGGTGGTGGTGGTGGTGGTGGTGGAAAGCTCAGTTGCACCAAGGCGGCCAGCTGTGCACTCTGCAGCGCGGCTTCTCTGCCACGGCCCAGGCGGGCTGGGAAATCGCGCAGG